CAGACTGTATTTCGACACTATCAGACCGATAGTTCGTATACTGTAAAGGCAAAGTTCGTGTGGCATTACCAACCAACAGGGGGTTTGACAAGGTTTAAATTCATGTGCCATTACCGTCGTCAGGCACGTCGTATAAGGTATTCGTACTTATGCGTTAAAATTTTAAAATTGTTAATATCACTTTTCCGATAATTTAAAGCACGTTTCAGGTAATTTTGAATAATCCAAAACTTTCCAAAATTTACGCGGCGTACGCTCATTTCCACAGCCACAGCACGTACTGAAGCTGGAAATTACATTTCGGATACATGTGTTGGGTTTCTTACACCGTATTAATACTACCGTGGGCACGGCCGTTAAGACGTATGTGTACATATCCGTAAGTCCTTAAAATGCTCAAAATTACTCTTTTCCTTTAAGATTCCTTTTAAAATTCTCAAAATTACTCTTTAAATAAAGCATGTTTTAGCATATAATACTTTTCAATCAGAACCGTGCGTGCTTCGTGAGGGTCAAAGTACGGCGGATCACCTAACTCGTCCTCAGTGACGAGTTCAAATCTAGTTATTATTATTATTATCATATACATACATACAAATATATATTTGTATATTTTCTTATAAGTCATATAATTCAACTTGTCAGACGGTCTTTAAGGCACAATGCTACACCACCTTCGTTAGACCCACTCTTAAATATGCCTCTGCCGCTTTGGCTCCTCACACACAAGCCAATATCAATATACCTGTATATATACAGTATACACTTTTGTATTAACAAAATAACATTATTTAATTCAATATTTGAAAAGGATGACATTTATCAATGATGTTTTAAGAATTCCGCATGAAGGGCGATGCAAAAATGGATCCGTATTTGATGGAATCAAGGCATTTTGAATATTTTTTTTTATTGTTTTGCGTATCATGTCGATATGCAGACATGGTTCCAAACTTCGGTCGGTCATAACAGAGTTGTTTTTGGAAACGTGCAAAATCGGGGACATCATTATTTACGACAATTGTAACCATCTTTTGGAAACTCTCCAACAGCCATGACTTGCTCCAGATAAGCTTAAAAAATTTTGTAATGTTATTCAAACTAAGGGCGCACCACTCAACAACTGTTGGGGGGGGGGTTCATAAATGGGACCGTTCGACCCGTTTGTAAACCTGTACAGTCGCAAAGAATTATGTAAAATGGACATAAAAGAATTCATGGTAATAAATTTCAGTCTGTTGTCGTTCCGAATGGATTAATCGCAAACCTCGGCTCTTCGAATTATATTTGTAGCTAAAAATATTTGAATTGAGCATCTCTTTTACTAAATCATTGTCCATTTCTTCATCCCATCTAAATAGGAAAAAAATAAATTTAAATTCATTGAAAATTATTATAAATGGCATTTGTTGATAAAGTTTACTCAAGAATAAAGTTCTATTATTGCATTAATCAACATGACATTACATACATTTGATGTGAGGGGCTTAGTATTTGAGGTCATCATAATAGTACTCATTTTTAAGAGATACATTAAGTCCTCATTTTATTAGTAGAAAAAAAGAAATAAAAAATTAAGATTTTTTTATGGTGCAAAGTAACAAAAACTTTAATAGGTTTGAGTTAAATATTGGCAGTGGTATTGAAGGAATATATACGGTAATATTTGTTCATTTACATTGACATATCACTAATACCTTTTATCTTTTTTGTTGCTGATTCTTGATATGCTGATGTGGTCAATGGTGCTACTGAAATTAATAAAATTACACATTGATTGAAATATTATTTGTATTTATTATTTTATATTATTATTTAATATTATTATTGTTTATTATTAAATATTATTATTATTATTAACAGTGTTATTGTTGTTATTATTATTATTATTATTAAAATTTGGTTACTTTATTATTTTTGTTATTTATTATTATTGATATTATGAATTTTTACTATTATTATTACTATTATCTATTTGGGTTTATTACAAACAAGTAGTTTTGCCTGCCATGGTGACCGTATTCTAAGACAAGATCAATAAGGTTGGAAAACTTACCAATAGAAATCAGCTTATCTTGAAAACCTACAACAATGGGTATTGCTCCTGGTGTTTGTTGTCCATCTGAAACAGATACAGTAAGCGTGTACAAAACTGGTAAAAAATATAGACTCAAAATGTGTTTTGTAAAATTGCATGATGGTATTACAGTATTAACAAAAAAAAAGAGAAAGAAAAAGAAATCTCTACCCAAAACACACACCCAAAAAACGAACATACCTAGGCCTCAGGCCTCTATAAAATATCTAGACCTAAATAAAACAGCACATTACTAAAATCCAATTTAACAAAAAAGTATTAATATAGGCCTTAACTTACATGCAAAAAGCTGTTGGATAGAGTTGATTCCGGAACATGCAGTTGTAGTGGGTAGAGTACTATTGAACGTTAATAATCTGAAAAAGTAAAATCAATGAATATTTACTAACTTAGGTACAGTATGTCATTTATTTTTTAGGCCCTAGCCTAGCCTTAGGCCATGCCTAATTATAGGAATAATAAATAGCCTGATGCATCTGCTTTTTCGTATGTAATTTATTTTTTATTTTTTCTTCAATCCATATATTCTTGTAGGGCTTTATGTCTTTATGGTAGTAGTAGTAGTAGTACAGTAGTAGTAGTAGTATGTAGGACACTAGACCTACATAGGCCTAATATAGACCTAGCCTAGGCCTAGGCTAGGCCTTTATATAGGCCTAGGCCTACACTATATTAATTAGGCCTATGGGTTGGCGTTCGCGAAGTTTAGATATGGATATTGATCGAAGCCTTACGTTATTTTTACTCTATGAAAGCAAACAAAAATAAAAGTGATATAGGCCTACCTATACCATTATCAATCATTGAAACAAAAGTAATCATATTCATATATAACGTTTAAACTTACAATTTTCTAGCCATATTTTCTTGGTGAACAAACTAGCCCAGCAAGAGATTCGCTAGCTTGAAAACGAATCTAGTGTTGACATGATCGACTGCCAATTGACGTACTGTGATTGGTCAGAAATGTATGTCTGTGACGACGGATTCCCGCCTGATTTCACGTCCTCTACGAAATGAACTCGAACTTAAGGTTTTTTTTAACTAGCCAAGTGGACTAGTAAATTAATATTTTTACTTGTCCTCAATCCCTTTCACTAGCCACTATCTTGCCAACTTCGAAAGGCCCAAATACCATATTTGTGACATGCTAATCATGCTGCCCCTCATCGATGAAGTAACACTGACAGATAAAGAAAAATCGTTCTGTTGTCTCTGTATGAAATTATGCCGCGAAATATAAATACAGGAATCTATTTGTATGTACAGTGCACACAATACGATGTTCGGTACGATGTTCAGTTTTCAGGAAAGATCGGTTTGTGGAACATTTCTATTGAATCCTTTCCGAATAAGGTTGGCTATAGTTAGGGCCTAGCCTAGACGCTTATGAATATATGCTTAGCATAGCCCAGTCAGTGAATTCGGTATGACTAGCCTACGAAAAGTTAACATATTATTAAACATATAATACGTACAGTACCTGTTGTTTAGCTGTAGTGCAAAACAAATTGAATTAATGTACCAATAAAATGAAAAAAATCTAACAAATTTAAATTTCATTCTCTGCAAATTTCCTCCGTAATTCAATGTTTTTGGGGAATGTGAGTGTAATTTACATGTAGACTGATATATGATTGAATCAAATGACATACCAAATCTGAATTAAACGTCTACTGAAAAAGAGCCGTTGTAGAAAAAATTGCTTTGAGTTCCCTTTTCATTTCAGGTTGATTACAATCGATTTTTAAGTATTCATAAGGTGATAATGCACTTTATTAAAACAATAGAAGGCATAACTATCACTTTGTCTAACATTTTACTGGTGTGTCATTTTAATTAAGGCCCTATAAAAAAAATTATTAGTTTATCACCCTCGCGCGCATCACTTTCGGGGAAATCCTGATTTTTTTTTTTCATTTTAAACGATCGTTTTTTCGTCATTTTTCACTTGAAAAGGCTAAAGATTACTTCACATGCATGCATGCGCACTAAGATAGCTTTTCTACTCTGGCGCGATATTTTGTGTGTTAAATTAAATATGATTTTCTAGCTCATAATGGCCGATTGGACATTGTGACGTCATCATATTGCCATCTGAATTCAACAAACTGAATTTTATCGATGTCATTTTTAAAAATGCGCATTTGAGCGTATCTCGGTTATTCTTGGTCGATGACCCCCTCATCTGTCTTTCCTTAAACATTTAATGACCCCATAATCACCTTAACCAGTCTTGATTTCTGAATAATATTTAGTGGGCATAAACTTCAGGTCATGGTTAAATGTTATGTACCTTAATTGCCTGTGCGCGCGTCATAACACGCGCGTACGCGTGCGTCAAAATTAAAATGTGCTTAATATCATGCCTTTTTTTAAATCAGTGATAGCTCCTTAGGATGAAAGGTGACCCCCAATTTTTATTACATATTCTAAAAGCACATGAGTTTTAGATATGATTTTATATATGATAATAGCTGATCGGACATTGTGACGTCATCATATTGCAATCTGAATTAAAAACAAGAAAAAATTTATATTTCTTTTCTCAAAATGTTGATGACGTCATATCATCTTAACCATTCGTCATTTCTGAATAATATTAAATGGGCTTATACTTCGGGTGAAGGTTGAATGTTAGGTATCTTTTTTGTTTGCGCGTCTTAACGTGCGCGTACGCGTGCGTCAAAAATTACATATGCTTATTTATAATCAAATATAGCTCCTTAGGATAAAAGTTGACCCCTAATTTTTATTACATATTTTGAGAGCACATGAGTTGTAGATACGATTTTATAGATCCATAATGGTTGATCGGACATTGTAACGTCATCATATTGCCATTTGAATTAAGAAAAAACTGAATTTTATATTATGTCGTCTTTACATTTATACTAGTTTGAACGTATCTCGTTTATTCTTGATTGATTGTCTCTCACCTGTATGTTATAGCTGAAACAATTCTCTTTTGGACGTGTCCCTTTATTTTTTACTTTGACGATGTCATCATGGTCAAGAAGAAACAATTATTGGAGCCCTGTCATCTCTCTTTTTTCAAATTTGTCGACAGAGGGCGGCAGATTGTATTTCAGAGCTATCAGACTGATGATCAGGTTATATGATGGGAAAATTTTTGTGACATTACCAACTAACAGGCGGTTTAAAAAAACATCGTGACGTGCACTGCGTTAAAAAGTGAATATTCTCAATATCATTTTTCAGATAATTTAAAGAACATTTCACGTCATTTTCAGCATTCCAAAATATTCTATAATTTACGCGTTGTAGGTTCATATCCACGCGCACAGCACGTACTGAATCTGGAAATTAGGTTTTGTTGCATATTTTGTGTTCCTGACACTGTATTCATATCAGGAGTCATTCCAGCGGATCACCAAACTCGTCCTCAGTAACGAGTTCAAATCTAGTTTTATTCTTCTTTCTTTCTCCCCTTTTTCTGTTCGCACGATATCTAAAAAAATGCCACGAGTTACGTACAATTGCCGTCAACGAATATTTGGCTTGGTCTGGAATAGTCATGGTAAGCTTTTCAACGCGCTCAGTCATGCGTGATGTCATCTACGCGCTATTTTGCCAATTGCCATTTCGAAATCGTATTATGTGAGCATTAACTTCGGGTTAATGTTGAATGTACTGTACCTTAATTTTACGTGCACGCTTCTTTAGGCGTGCGTCAAACTTAAACTGCTCAAAATCACTTTTTGACTAAATTAGAGCACGTTTCAGGGCCATTTTGAGCATTTCAAAATTTTTGAAATTTTCCACTACGCGTACGCATTTTTACGCGCGCAGCACCTACGGAAGCTAGACATCATGATTTTTCAAATACTTTGGGTTCCTGACATTGTCTTCACAAATTTCCATTCTTTTTGGTCATCTTATGGCCAATAGCAATGCCGTACGTGCGCATCAAATATAGGTATCTCTGCGCAGATTTGTGTTGATATATCGTGAAAATATGCTAAAATCAGGCCTGTTTTTAATCAGTTATAGCTACTTATGATGAAAGGTGACCCCCAATTTTTATTACATATTCTGAAAGCACATAAGTTGTAAATATGATTTTATAGATCATATAATGGCTGATCGGACATTGTGACGTCATCATATTGGCATCTGAATTCAAAGATAGTGAATTATAGCTATGACGTCATTTTTGAAAATATGCATTTGAGCGTATCTCGCTTATCCTTGATCGATCGTCTTCCAACTTTGAGTATGTTATAGCTGAGACAATTCTCTTTCATATATTAGACTTCTTTTTACATTTTGATGACGTCATCATAGTCAAAAAAATTGTTTTTTCTGACCCCCTCATTTCTCTTTCTACAAAACGTTGATGAGCCCACATCATCTTAACCATTCGCCATTTCTGAAACGTATTAAGTGAGCATAATCTTCTGGTCAAGGTTGAATGTCAGGTACCTTAATTTTCCGTTCACGCGACTTTAACGTGCACGTACGCGTGCGTCAACAATTATGTATACTTAAAATTATGCCTACTTTTAAAGGGGGGGAGGGGGTGCGGGGATGAGACAAGTGGCCATATATTGCTTATTTAACCTTTCCTGAGTTGGGGAAAAATACTTCAAAAATTCAAAATGTTGAGATGTAACGATAATTACAGAAACAAAACATGATATGATGAGACAGGAAAATCGGGTGAAAACGAGGCTGATCACTTTTTTCAGTAGCTTGGTAGCATTTTCTAACCAACTCATTAATATTCAAGACAAGTCTGTCAATTTTGGCGAGCAGCTGATTGAAAAATCGTCCCGACGACGCAATCGAGCGACTAGACAATACATACAGTACACTAGTGTGAAGTCTTGAGTTTTTGTGATCGTTTACGTACGCAGTTTGTTACAGAGAGACGGTTTAGTCAACGTCAGTTCAATCATGGAGGAATAATTCAGTTGAATTAATAATCGTATATCAGTCCGATGACTTGTTTGTTTATAATTAGGCCTATGCCTAGGATTAGCACAGTCAGTCTACCAGCAGCAGTAGCGCACTCCTGTCCGAGCACTGCTCCAGTCCCGCAGCAGGTGAGTTCGCACGCAGCCATATCCAGCTGACGGTGAAGTTAGTAGGTTTCTACTACTAGCCTAGCCTAGACTTGTCATGCCATGCCATGGTGACTTTGTCACATTAATTGTGCTAGTGCATTTTTTTTTTCATAATAATAGACCTAGGCCTACTAATAATAGTATACTATAGGTCCTATATGAGAAACTGTCTAGGCCTAAATAAATGTCTAAAAAATGCACTGTCTAAATAAAGGTGATGTGCTATAATACTACAGTATATCATCAGAGCCAACACCAATTCCTGTATTAACAATAAGATTATTATTGATATAGTGTAGGCCTAGAAGCTAGGCTACACAACAATAACGCCCCATTAAATAATAACATGATGCATATGTTACTCCAAACCTAACTTTCAGCTGTTGTTGAAATGTGGAATTCAAATAAAATATATACATATATATTTTTGTAGGACAAGATATGTGATAGGCCGAAACATGACACTCTCCTCACATAGGTATTTGCCATGAGTACAACCACCCAACATTGGCATCTACGAAAGAAGGTGGTACAAAGCATACAAGCACCCAGCAAGACGTTAGCAAGAAACACTCTGGTTGTTTGCTGAAACTTGTAATGAAAGCTACACACAATTTAAGGTGAGCAAAAGAAAATTAAGTGAATATCTTCATCACTGTTCAGCCAGAGTACATGAAACAGTAGACTTGCCACAAGTCTCTTATTTTTTTATTATTTTTCTCATTCTGGACAGCGCCACCAACGAGAAAGTTAATTTATAGACGGAATAAGCGACTTGTAAAACACT